ACGATTTGACCCATAAGAATACAATTAAGGGATAGAAGAAAAAGACAACAAAGCATGAAATAGTCAGTCAGTCAGTCAGCTTCGATGATCCCTTATACTCTCGGGTCGCGGAAACACGCGTCAGACAGTGTCTCTAACGTTCCCGAACTTTTACCAAGATTTGAGCTTCAGCGAAAGATAACTTGATCTGAATTAGAGTCGAGATATCGAAATACTTGCTACAGGACATTCATCGCCGTACTCGGAGACTTCGGCCTGTTGGTTCAGCAAGTAGTATCTCTTTTGTCTTCCTTCCCAGAAGTGTTTGCAAGATGTGCCCCTAAAGCACTGCAGCTCTCATTTCTCAGTTCGGAGATGCAGCAGCTATATACCAAGACTCGGATATGTGAATTAAGGACCATGGCGGGTCACTGCCATTTATTTTAATGCAGCACTTGCTATCAGTATATAGTGACTAAATTGTTCATGCCGACCGACCATCAATTCCATGTATTAGCATGCTTGTTGCGCTCTCTCCGGTCATAGGCTTTCTCCTGGTGCGCAAGCCTGATGTAAGCCGAATCGGCGAATTTCCACGATTTCTTAACAATCCGGCTTAAGACAAATATTTGGTGAGAGGTGCTTCGACCAGACCTGGTCACGCCGTTTTTCTCAGACCCTAGGGCCACCATTCTAACACATTTGCATAAACTTTCTACGGCAGGCTAAAAATAATGTTATTCCTCGATAATTGAAACACTCCCAGTGGTCTTCTTTCCTGAACAAGCGTACCTACTCCCATTCTCCAGTTCGCTGGCGTCTTCCCCATAGCCATTGCTGTTTGACAGACACGTTAGCCAACACATGCCTTGCTTGCCTAATACTTTGAGCATTTCAGGGCGGATTTCATCAATTCCAGCAGCCTTTTCACTTTTCAAGCATATCACAATTTGTGTGATTTCATCTGCAGAGATAGTATAGTCGATCTCTGCTGCTTTACAGGCGAGTCTTCCTGGGATTGCTCGTGGTTAAGGAGTTACGAAACAACCAAGGGAATAAAAAAGAATAACCACAGTGGCATGAAGTCAAAACTGTGTTACGTTGACCATTTGCAGTCATAACAACGATTGCCCGATCCTTCGTATTAAGGGCATCGCTATTGCGATCGTCCTGTGTAGTCTGATTGGATGACGCCTGGGACTGGGGTCATTTCTGCTTGTTAC